GCCCCCGCGGGATAAGCCATTATGAGATCCGCTGAGCTAATATGACGAGCCCGCGGCGACGCTCATATGAGTTGGGATGAGCTTCGGCTCACGGCAATCTTGCTGTCAACGTTTCTAGATATTCGATGCGGAAGTGCCTTGCAATATAGGATGTGAGGGCAGCGTGCGCAACAGCTGAGAAAGTGTCTTACCGAGGAATTCCTGTCCTGAAGGTTCCCTTTTATTCACTCGACCACTCACAACCATTCGCAGTCGCCGTTCTCTCAGTGTAGTGACAAGGCGGCCGTGAACCACGTGGTTTCGTGTCCGCGGCCTGCCAATGCTTCACGTACACTATTCCGCGCATCGGCCTTGTGTTTGGCCGTCAGGTCGGCGTGCTAGGTGAGTTGTGCGGAGTTGAGCGCGCCTCTTGTGTTGCGGCCGAAACTTATCGGTATGCTTGGGACTTAGCGGGAAAGTTCCTGGAAAAAAATGATGATGCTGAATAAATCCGGAGAGTGGGTTGCATCTTAGGGTGTTCGGAATATATACGGGACCAGGCCTGACATTCTCACCTTGACGTCACTCTGGGGACGCCCCGGGGCATTTGGGTGTTAACTGGTCAAATACTGTCAAATATTCCATAGCCAAACCGTACCCCCGCACCATACTTTGCATCCAACGCGGGCGGCTTTAATCAACGTTGGGGGCGGTTTTCACCCAAACTTTCACGGACCCTTTCGGACCAGCGGACGGTCAGGTCGACGGAAGGGAAGTATTCGAGTGTACGACCACTGAGATGGCGGCAACGGTTGCATTCAGTGTTAAGGGAGACACTAGCAATTTTCCTGGGCGAGTGGGTTGGGAAGCCAGGTGCAATCTGACTTCGCATGTCGACAATAGCAATGCCTGTGTCACTTGTGAGCACATCCATGAGCTCGGAGATGAAATTTTACAATAAAAGCGAACAGCGCAAATGCCATTTTATGCTTTTTAGATTTTCAGAAGGTTACAACCGGGCGGACCCAAAGTAGGTTAAAGACGACAACCGGCCTTCTGCACCCCTTTTAGCAAGAAGTTGGTGTGCTACATGCTTAGATGTATGGGTTTTCAACAGGGGCAGCAGGATATTCTTTCATAAAGTTTTGATGATTTATGTCCAGTCAATGCCCATGACAGTAGCATAAGATTTCCAGGAAGTTTAAAGATCATCCCCAGCTGTAACCTTCTCAACCCTCCCCCCCCCCCCCTTTCATGCCCCTTGCCTTCAGAAGCCCAGAAATGAAGAAAATTGGACAAAAGGATATTGAAAATGTACAGGTCGTGTATAATGTCGACAGCCTTAGTACTGTTGGGCCTGATAGAATTGCCTTGATGTATCAAACATTGCTGGTTGAACACTTCACGGTAAACATTAAGGTGCTGAAGTTAAGTCTTGTGTGGCATTTCGTGGATATCTCCCGGTTAGCTAACACAGACTTGATTGATTTGTGATGTGTAGAGCAGGATGCCATCTTTCAACGTGTAAAAGTGAGAGGAAAATGACAGTTCTAGTTGGCAAGCAGCGTCAGCTGATTCCACAGAATCTAACGGGGTTTAGGGGCAGGGTGGTTGATTCATGCATTATGCAGTACTGACAGCTACAGCAGGTCATTTTCCAACAGAAAAGGGGTTGCCTGGGTGAAGGACAGCAACAACATTAATTGGTGACATTTTGGATTTCCAAACAGTTCCTTGCCACGACATAATGCCACTTTACGGGTGCCTTTACAGTGTCATTTGAATGCTGATTACATGTAAATAAGTACTATGGCCATCACTTGAATAGGCAGTGGAACCATAGGGTACCTAACCTGTCAGCGTAGCTGGAAGGCAAGTGAGGCCGCTAGAGGCCAAAGTCTTCTGGGACCAAATAGGTCCAACTCATCACCAAAATAACACGGGGCCTGGAGGCCTCAGAAGCCCTTGCCTAAATACGAAAGTGCAACCTTTGATACATTAAAGAAGGACGTGAAAGAGAAACATACTGATTAGCCCCTTCCCCATACGCCTAATATTGGCTACACCACTGGTAATCATCAAATGCTAAGATGCGTTAATGAGGTAGCCCGAATGGCATTTATGTCTCTTTATAACATGTTCTTATTACAATGTCCTTAAACATATCAGGCGCCACGAACTAAGTTAGAGGAGTAAATGGAACTATGTCAACGCTACAAGCATATCAGACACCACGAACCATGTCAGAGAAATAAATGGAACGATGTCTATGATGCCAGACTGGAATATGCGAAGGGTGGAATCATATCAGATCAAATCGCATTTGCAAGCATGTTAAACTTACTTCATGGACCTTCCATTACAAGTTTTAAGGTAACAGTGGTTCAAGGTCTGAAAATTATAGTTGTTGCTCGCCTGTTAGCTACTTTAAGATGCAATGTAGGGCACATGATTATACAAACATCAGGATATAGTGGGAAATTTGCGTACGAGTGTACGCAGGTGTCCAACGCGATTGATGAGCAATCAGCGACGTAAAACGCGTAATATTCTACTCTGCATGCTGCCAGCAAAACTGGTGAAGTTTTGTTATGTTGCCGGAGCACCACAACTGTCATATTGCCAGATTGAGTTACATTTCTTGACCTTGTTATAGTATTATTATAGCCTTGTTATGGGACCTCGGCAGATCTCGTGGTTATTTAACTCGAAGATGGCTGTTGATTGGCCGACCCCTGTAGATGAAATAACTTCCTCTTAGGCCAAAATTTAGCCTTTGCCGCGCGCATCTAACCTAGGGCTGTCTAACCCGGACAGCCACGCCAGTTTTCTGGAAAAAAGTGCTCGAGTCAGATGTGCTGTTCAAAGCGGCTGTTTTTTTCTTTTTTTGCTGGAATTATTCCAGTGGAGGGGCTGCTTCTTCATCAGCTCGTATGGAGCGTATTGTTTGAAGAACAATTCACCTTGGTTCTTTTCATCGGCGCCCGGAATATTTGATTAGCAGGCCCCGTGACTAACTTGTTTTTTCAGATATTGTGGGAAGACTTGTAATGTGATTTGATTATAGTTGAAGTTGAAATGTAATTGAAATGATTTGCTTATATTATTAGTTGGATGATTCACTTGCACTTATAGCGCCATGTAACTTACATTTCATCCTTAATTTGATTTAATTGATTTGCTTATATTATGAGTTGGATGATTCAGTTGCACTTATTGCGCCCTGTGAACAATGACTGATCGTGGGCATTCATTGCAGGTGACCTCCAAAAGTAGTGCCCTCGCTAACGGGAGTATTCCAGGCTTCAGGGCAGTCAGAATGGGATCAAACTCGATTAAGCACAGTCCATTGGCAGCTCTTGTCAATAATGGCTAGAATGCTATATTGGAAAGATCGAAAAGCGCCTCGCCAGTGCCCCCCGCTGCACAGAACGGCACACTCTTACCAGTCTCGTTCTCTCAACATCCACGCTTGAATATTCTGTCCCGGGACGGGAGGGACCGTGCCGCGTCGTTCTGCATCGGTATTTGGCAAGTTGGCATAAATGACCAGATGATGTTTTCAGTAATCGCTATTTGTCGTATCAAGTAGTAGCAAGCTAGAGGTCCTCAGGACCGGTGGCCATGAGGGCCTCCTGTTTGCAGAAGCACGATTTCGCTCCTCGAACAGCGTTGTTGGTCAGGAGGCAGGTGCATACAGCGCGATCTCGGTCACGGGCGGTGTGGTACGCGCTGGGCATGACAGCCATCGACCCAGGCGAGCTTTGTCGCTTTGCGTCACAGCTGATGAGTTTTGTTTGGAATGTGCCCCGGGGAAATGTCCCCCCGGCTAATAGTACTCAAGCTGAGGCGGAGCAGGCAAGGCGGAAAGTGTTGGACGCAATTGTGTTGCCGTGGTGAGGAATGGCCCTATTAGCAAGCAGCTACAGCGGGGGGCGTCCACCATAATTTTAGTTTATTCACCAGGGACCATTACTGTAAAAAACAATTTCACAACTGACGATATGTTTACGCTTTCTCCGGTTCAGTGGCGCTATCACAAGGCACCATCTCACTGTTATTTTATCGAGTTGGATTCAGAGCCTTTTCAGCGTGTATGGTGGTGATTAAAGGAAGCTGTCCCGGTCGTTACACAGCGAGTACTGACGTAAACGTGGCCCACGCCCGGAGGCGTCGAGCCCCATGGGACCCATGCGGTAGAGGTTCAGAGGTGTAATCGCCGCTGGTCGTGGTGCCGACGAGAAGTCGGCTGAGTGCGTGACCCGATTTGATGGGCGTATTGGTTGTTTTACTGCCCGCTGCAGCCGGGGGAGCGGGAGTTTGAGCACGCGCGCTGCGCACCACGTACGTAGTTCCCGAAAAGTTTGCGTCCCCAGTAACCTGATAAGCTATGGTGTGCCATTTGGACAGGAGCCCGGCGCAGCGCTGCCTCAATGATTGTTTGGTCTGAGAAGCCACGTCCATTTGAGCAACGAATAATAGCCAATGGTCGCGTTGTGCTCCAATTGAAACGTGCCCCAGACACCAAGGGGCTTTGTGAGTTCTTTTTTCATAAAATGTTGTCATTTCAGTGTTTCGGTTGATCGGGATGCGTGAAATGAAAGCCTGATCCCTGCGTGGCACTGGCTTCCGGGGATTGCATGCTGCGTGAAATCTGCCGTTCGCATTCTTAGAACACGCTGGCTATTTGAGCCTCACATTTTACACCGTTAACTCTTCTTTTGACCTGACAAATCTGGTGCTCAGGATCGTGACCGGACTCCGGGTGGATTGAGAATCCGGAACTGGCGGCGTCTCTCAAAAACAGTAACACTAGCTGGCCACTTGGACCCCGAGCAGTACCCATTAAAACCGTTTAAACAGATTAACTTTGAACTGGCAGCCTTTAGATCTTCGCCTTAATACCAGGAACGGTGTAAATGATGGCTGATAGTCTTCACGAAGGTGCAAAGGTGTGTCTTTGAACAAACACAGTGCTTGAACCGCGCGCATGGCGCTAACTGCGAGCCTTCCGTCCCCAGCTGTGGCCGGCTGTGCAGCTCGTCAACTTCTACTGTGTGCCGCTGCACCACCAGGTGCTGTTCGTGCAGACGATAGCCATCTTCTGGAACACGTACCTGGCCTGGAAGGCCAACAGCAGCGAGGTGAAGGCGGTCGAGCCGCTCACGTAGTGTCGGCCGCGTGCGGCGACGCCCGCTGCTCCCGCGGCCCCCGTGAACGGCCCGTGACCCGGGCTGGGATCAGGACGCCGAGCCGTCGCTGCGTTAGTGGAGGACCGGGTACCTCAAGGATGGAGGACGGTGGCTCGTGTGTGCGGGTGGTGTAACGTGAGTCTGGATATGTCGGACGCGACACACTGGCGTCACACCGTCACGATGGGAAAGGGTGTAGCACAGATTGTGAGCGCATGCAGGCATGGTGCGTAATAGGGGGCCTATAGCGATGGGTTATATTGAGTGATTGATAACTGCATCTAGGTATGTTAGATGCGTTCTAGCTCGCAATGTTACCGTGGGATCCCGATCGCCACCAGCTTTCGCCGATACCGTACTTCAATCGGCGATCAGGGAGGGGCACAACATGATCGTCACACGCTGCTTCCGTACGGGCTGCTCGTCCATGTGCATTAGTCGTTTTATGTGTGGCGTCGGCCGAACCGGGTCACATTCATTGCCTGAGGCGCTCCGAACGTTCTCGGAAGGCGGCAGGCCGCAATCAGGGCGAGGATCAGCCACCGGGAAGTGCAGATCCGGCTTCGTTGGAAGCGTCGCATATGTGTGTGTATGTGTGAGGGAGAGCTCTTCGGGCTGTACAGTGTCTCGCCGTTCAGACCCAGCGCCACATGTCAGAGGCTTCAGCGCACTCCCGTCCTGCCCAGACATCGCCGTGTTGAGAGCCGTCGTCGCCATCCTGTTCGGGGGTTCGGTGCTCTGGCCGGACAGCAGCGGAGCACCGGACCGCGGAAATACACGATCTCCGGCGGCTGCGCCCGAATGTTCATTGAATGCCTCCAGGGAATTGGAGGCCGTCTGCGCAAGGCCAGCAGGAAGTAATCCACATGCGGCGGTGAATGTTGTCGCCAGACTATGCGAATATTACGCATTTGGTGACACTAATCAAATGAATACTCTACATCGCGTGCAGCGCAGCCCCTGCCGCGAAACCTGACGGGAAATGCGGGGTGCGAGAAACCATACGCGGGCGATGTCAAGAATTGAAGCCCCGAGGGAAATGCGTGCTCCCCGGGGCCTATATGTACGCAATCGAACGATCCCGGGATTCGCGTGATTGTTTGATACGTAGACGCTGCGTCTTGGTTCGGCGCTGGTAGGATTTTTATAGGTCCAGGTTACCGATGTCCGTAACTTGGCCTGGAGCCCGTTTCAGGCTTCGTAAATAGGTCGCGAAATGCTATTCGTTCGTGTCGGGATTGTCATCATTTGGAAATAAAATTTGTCCAGACATTTGTTTATCTACAGAATTTTATAAAGGGGTTGCTTTCTCGTTAAGGATTTTCGGTCTCCTGCAGTCTGCCCGTTGAGCGGTTCTCGGGATACCATTGGAGCAAACGTTTTGACCTGTGTAAGCATTAATTATTTATTATATTAACACCTTTTTGGCGAAACGGCTTTTAATTAGCCTAGTTCTAACACACATTGTATCTGAATAGTTTTACGTTAAATTAAATGTTAAACCTTGAATTATGGATGATCAAATTAGTCACTATTAGACCGGAGTCACCTCATGCCACACGCCCCCGGTTACGAAATTGTCGCTTATGTCGGTGTTGATGTTGAAATGCTGGTCATTATGGAACTGAAGTTATTTCCATTCAGCTTGCGGGTACAAGTTATGCAGACCGTGCTGCAACTTAAGCACCGTGGTGACTGCATACTCAATAGGAATGCGGGAAAAATAGACTCAAGCCAAAAATATCGGCACTTTTATGACGATTAGAATCATAAACTGTATCTGAAATACATCTTTAATTTTCGCGGAGCGCCATGAATTTTTTGAAACATGTGCAGTCACTAACGTGTCAAATTGGCGTCGAAATGACATTTTGTCGTGAATCGATACAATCATTCAGCCTAATTCCTATTCAAACGACGTTTTACCCCACGAACCGCGTAACATGCAGAATGCGATGCTAAAATCAATTATTAAACCCATATGCGTTAGTGTAAGGTCTCCGTCGCACCGACGGGTATCCACAACGCAACCACGTGTCGAGCACTGTATTGCCCAGCGCAGTGATGCCGCTACAACCACCTGACATCGAGGTCAGGATGTCACCGGTGCGGGCGTGACCTTGACATTGCGCGCAGCGCTACAGCACCACTCAACCAACCGCTGACCTGCGTGAAGTGCGACATCGTTCGTACGACCGCGCCAACGCGACGAACTCGAAACACTGTTGCAAGTCGCGACACAACAACCTTCTGTAATACGGATGCACCTTGCGTCGGTTACAAGTGGAACAACGTGAAAACACACTATCTACTCATAAGAACAATCCTTGGTTCTGAGCATGGCAGTGATCACAAAACACAAGCCTGACAGATGCGGGCCACAACGCTAAACAGACCCTTGGTTAATGCGTGAGCCAACTCGCAGCGATTACGAATCTATGGACCATAACGGTCCGGAGCACGGGCAACACGTCCGTCCAGCGTGCGAGGCAACGGAGTGGAGGGAACCACGGACATCACGTCCACCGCCTGTGATTCCCGCCTCACAGGATGAGGTGGGCGCGCACCGACCTTAGCCACCGGGGTCGGATGCCACTCGGTCTACTGCTCGTCATTACACGGTCCTCGGCTGCAGCCGATTGTGGTGGGCAACCAATCTTCTTCCACGTAAGGCAACCTGACTCGGCAGCCCAAGTCACCTACTTCGGCGAAAACCACGGCCGGCTTCTAGGAACGCACAAACTTATGGAGCTTACTTGTGGCTGGCACCTTATTAAAAAGGATACTGCATCCCCTGGCGAATGCTGGAACAAGTTCAGTTACCGGTCGTACAACTAGCGGTTTGCAGCAGTGACTCGTTCGGCCCCCCCCCCCCTCCCCCCAAGGAGAAACCGTACGCTTGTTTGCATGTCACGGCGCAGTCCGTCAACGTGACCCGTCAGAGAAGTGCCGCTCGCACGGACCGCCGCGACGACTCCCAGGCCAGCCTCCGCTGGGAGACGCGGGTCGCGTCCCATCGTGGGTCTGTACGGGCTGAAGCCCCGCTGTGTCATGAATCTGGGATCTGCACCGCAGCAAGACGATAGGCGCGTGGCGATCCCTGTCATGATGATCATATTCCAAACATCGGGCCAACATGTCCAAAACCATACGATTCACTCGTTCCCAGCTTCCGTTCCCCGCGGGCCACCCCGGGGTTGCCTGTCTTTTCTCAGGTCCTTGCAAATGATACATCTCCCGGAAAACCGATTCGCAAAAGCTGACGTTTTGGTCGGAGTGGAATGACGTAGGTACCCCAGATCGAGCCATGAGGTCATTGACAAACTTGATCTCCACCTTTGTCGCCTCTTGGGTCTTAAACAGATAGACCTCCACCCACTTCGCTAACTGGTCGGCTACACATGGTCCTCAGCTTCAGTAAGACAAATAAGAGATGTTTATGACATCTTTATGTCTCTGAAAGGCGCGTGAAAAGATTTATCGCTACTTTTTCTAGCGGTGCCCTCGCCCTGAGGCTTCTTAGAGACGCATGCGGTCTCGGAGTAGGAGAATGTTTCGTTCACGGCGCTCACATTCCTTGCGGAATTTTTCTACACCCTGCCCTAGACCACCAGCCACCAGGGTCTTGCAAGCACCACCTGCACCAGTTTACAAGCGCTTAAGGACCCACCCGTGGGACCTGAGTGTAACGATTCCAGCACAGCTTTAACGAGCGCTCGGGCATCACAACTTCAAGCCGTTCTAAACCATCCACTCCAGTTTGACGATGCGACGGAGGACACCTTTGGCCATTCCCATCCAATCAAACTAGTACCGGAACTCTCTGTGTCTCTGAGATGACATACACGAAGGTGAAGGTTACCCAGCGTCTCGATCCACAGAGCCAAAGGTCTCTAAGGGTCACGAAAACTCATTGGCCATTGCAGGCTGCTGTGGTCAGTTCTCAACAGAAACTCTCGATTGAGCAGACAATGTACAAAATGCGTGACAAAGCTTACGGCTGCCAGCGGCTCCTTCCTTGTTGCTGAGTAATTTATCGGACCTCTGCTAAGGAGAAGCTGGCGTGCGCAATGACCCGCCCGCCACCATCCTTTGCCTGTTGGAGACAAGCTCGCGCCCCTCGGTCGGAAGCGCACTGTCTTGGCTTGGCAGCCCAGAGCGCGGCCGGGCCGGAGTCGACGAGACCTCCTCCGCCGAAAGCACCTTACTCTCCGATGGCAAAAACACCAACAGCTAAAACTTTTCAAATAGTTTTTTTGCCTAGAATGCACTTGACATCACCAATGTGAGAAAACACAGGCACACGCATTATGCGAATGAAGTGCTTTAAGCCCGTGTCAACTAGTGCCGTACACATGCAGGCTCATAGCAGTTTTAGACACGGACTCAGCACGCATCGTGGTGGGTTCCATTGACTTTTCAGGCAGTTAACAGAAAATTTCATGTGAGATAAGGGGCTAGACGAACCTGTATCGACGAGACCCCACCACGAAATGCCACTTACTGATCCCTTAACATGCGCAAGCTAGATACCCTTCGCTTAGGTGGGGGTCAATTTGAGCCCCCTGAGATCTCGGGAACTGAGAAAGCTAGAGGCACCAAATTTTCAGGGTGTCTTGACCTGTACGTGAACTCACTTGGATTAAATTTTGAGCTCACTGGGCCATGACTTTCAGGTCAAATAAGCTCAAGCAAGGTAAAATTCCAAGTTGGTCTCCGAAGTGCCCCAGAACCTAGGTAACTGTTTCTAAGCAAAAGGCCAAAAGCTCATTTCAGGTCAGTGACGTTTTTTGACCTTTTGAAGGTCATGGTGACAAAAATTATACAAAACTGCTTTGGGTTTTGCATTTGAATAGGTGACCAAGATTACGCCAGGCAGTATGTTTCTAAAACACAATGTCGACCCGGGTCATCCTAGGTCAATGATCTTTTCTGACCTCTAAGAAGTCCGTGGAAGCTGTATAATGGGGCTCTTGCTGTCAATGAATTCGAAATGAGCACCACAAACTATCCCATACGGCAAGCCCTAGAGTAATAAATCAGGTTGGTTGTGACCTTGGTCTGACCTTCATACCTGACCTTATGTCAACCTAATTTGCTTATTCAATTTTTGTGGTGCCTAAGAAAGCATCTCAGAGAAGTATGGCTTCGTCAAACACTGCGTTATTGTTTCAGATTGGACGATTCCCTAGAAATTGCTTTCGCTGAAACCATGGCCTGACTTTGACCCGCCAATCTTACAAGGTACATCTAAACGTTTTATGTCAATCGATCCACTATTCAATTGTCTATAGCTATGCAAATTTGGCGCGGCTACGCCGCGCCGTTCGAAAATCACTCTGGAAAAACTTTCGGGGGGGGGGACAATTTGACCCCCACCCGAGTGCGTGTTAACCAATAATCCAGAATGTTAAGGAGATACTCGAAGAAGTAATCACACGCGGGATCCCCCTCATCTCGTTTCTCGGGTTTGTTGCTCGACACGCAGGGCAAATGTGAACCACTTTTGAACCACTGATGAACCACTTATGACAGATCGCATCACGATGGCGGTAGGTGACATGAGCCTGGCCCAGCTGGCTTCAAGAGAAGCACTGCCTCCCACCATATGGTGACGTTTCACCTTGTGGCTGCTAGACTGCACCATGTTGCAGTCCGGTCTGCTGCTGCTTAAGCCGGGACAGCCTGTTCAAAATCTGCCGCGGCAAAACGGTATTGAAATCCTGACCAGGATTTCTAGCTGGCGCAGCATTCCGTACAGCCGCCTCATGCCGCGACTGCAGGAGGCCAGCTGGCAGTATCCTGCGAGCCTTGGCTGCCATCATCATAAGAGCATATGCTCTCGCTAACCAGTATATGGCAGTACTGCACAGGTAACGCCTTCAAGAGGTAATGGTAGAATATCTCTTTGCGTGATCCTTGATCAGAAGGGATTGCGTTCTGAACCAGGTGGTTCCGCTGAAACAAGTGCATTTCAATACTGATGGATGGCTCACAACGAAATTTAGGAGCTGCACATGGTCCGCGATGGGACCTCTGTCCGTAAAATATCCCTGCAACACAATCAAAGCACTAGAGAGTGTTTGGCGTTGGCTACCAGGAAAAAAGTTACATGTAATTTTGGCTGCACCAACTAAAAACAACGGGAAAAGCAACTGCTGTTCATCAGACCAATTCTGAGCTGCTGAAGACAAACGGAAATGACGCACAAACGACAATAGCGACAGACCAGCTCCACTGAGTTG